ACTCAAATGTATTGAATAAACATGGTACTAGTAGTTAAACAAACCAAAAGGAGAGTATGCAAACATTAGAGAAGAAAAGCAAATGTCATTTTCATGAGCTGATTTGGTGATAATTTGTCAAACATGTTATGTTGAAGGATCATATAATTGAAGCCGTGAGTGGTGGTGGTGGTAGTGAGTGAGTGGAGTCCAGGTAGGGAGGTGGGGACTATCGGGGTTCTCAATGACAGGGCATGGAGGGAGGGCGGTGCAAACAATCAATAATGAATAGGTGTATCCTATCCTAATTTGTTTATGGATTTCATTGAGTGACCCTTAAGCTTGCCTGCATTATTCCCCTCCCTCCTTCCCTTGTCTCCCCCTTTTCCTTCTTTTTTTTTTTTTGCTTTTCAAGGCTGGACATGTTACGGTAGGTCACCCTCTATACTCTGTACCGAACCATCTCTTACTCACTAGTTAACCTGGTTTATAATTCCTAAAACTTTGCTGGTATAAGTCTATTCTACATCTAAGTCGAGCTGATTCTTTTACACCTATTTGCCTAGCTATAATTATGTTATATCACAATGATAAGCTCTACATGTTGTTGTCCAGTACTCGCCTTATATATGACACTTTGATTAGTCCAACTCACTTGACATAAATGAATAAATGTATATATGTAGGTCCCAATTCTTCACATGCTTGGAGAGACTTAATGACTATCGAGGGAGGGTCGGAAGCAAAATAATGGAGCAGCTCAAATCCTAGCATGAACCATGGTTTCCACTTTCCAAGCTGGTCTTAATGGCGTGATCAATGTCAACAAACACCCATCATCGGCAGAATGATCAAAAACCCAAATCTTAGAAAGTAAAATAAAATAAAGATTATGGGACGAGATAAGCTTAGTGGGGGTGCAAAAGGAGGGCTACCCTTGAGTCAAACCTAAGTACCATAAAGAAAAGATAAAGTAACAGATACAGGGATTGATCGATCGAACTCAAATCAATCGAAGAAGAGTAGAAGAAGACCCCATGGCCATTTCTTTTTCTTTAATTAAAGGTACAGATACATCCTGCTTACGTTTTCTTTAAACTTTTTCCCTTGAATTCTTATTGGTGGGAAGATCCTGACACGGTTCCTTTTCAGTTTTGCAAGCTCATATCCACAAAATAAAAAAAGGATTGATCTTCCTGATGCTTCCGACAGACACGTTAGGCTGTATATCCAAATTTGAATCGTCAGGGACCAAATTGGGATGAGCAGAAATTGCACATGGGATCTTCAATTAGTAATAAATTTGGCCTCTACGGAAAGTCACTTGATCTTATCACTAATCAAAATAAATTCCTTTTCTTTTTTCGTAGCTCTCTCGCATGCGTACCTGGGATAGAAGAAAAAGAAAGAAAGAAAAGTGAGAGAGATGGGGGTCTCGGGGTCTTTTGAAATCAGGGGGGCATCGCCCATTGCTTGTAAAAAAGATAGGGGAGAACGTGGCAGGGAACAATTTCACCTGCCAAATGCCCTACGATGGGTTGTTAGCAGATTTTAGTTAAATGAATGGAACAGTTCATGGATGATCAGAGAGTGATAATGCAAGTTTTTTTATGCCTTAAGTGTCACCTAATAGAGACAGAAAAAAATGAAAGGAAATGTAGAAGCTGGAAGACCCCATTTCTCTTCAAAGCCTGATTTCCTTGAACAAGTTCCCCTCTGATAAGCTATCTTGGTTTCCACCATTGCTTTTTATCGAATGGGAAACACTGTTTTCAGTTTCATCAGTCTTGTTTCCCCAAATTCATATTTGTTTCTCCAACTTTAGTATGTCACGGGATGACAATTGGAAAAAGATTTTGTCTTGTGATTGAAACAGTGAGGTTCAGCTTAGAGCACTTTCTAAAAGAAAGGCAAGAATAGGAATATGCATATAATCCAATCCACTAAATCCAGAAGCAGTAGAGTAAAAATTCTGAAAGATCTATGTTGTTGGGGGCACTTGGGGCGTGGCAGATTTTGAGGAGAAATGTTAAGCAAACAAAGCACCATGGAAATATATAAAAAAACAAAACCAAAAAGGTTGGTTAACAACAAAATGGCCGGTTTAAGTGCAGTGACTGGCGCGTGTCGGAGACCAGCTGTATGAGCCTAAACATGTCTGATTACCTGGTAATCAATCATTAATGAAAAAAAATTAACAGGAAAACAGAGTTGGATAATGGAACCCCTCGAAAGGGTTTTTCCAAGGTGTGGAGAGAGGAGAATATCGAGGAACATGTCACCTTGATTAGCGGGGAGGAATGTGTTTTGTGTCTGAAGCTTGTCGTTTCCCTCTTTTTTTTTTTGGTTGGGAGTGTTAACTCTTGGGGGAGAGGGGGGATTCTTTTTAAGCCAAAACGTTGACCATCTGTCTCCTTGGCTAGGCATTTGCAGCTACCACTTTGACTAACCCCCCCAAGCACACAATCCGCTAGCACCTCTACCAAACCTGCTGATTTAAGTGGGAAACAGAAGGGAATCCAGCTTAATTGTTAAAAAGCAAGGTAATCCCCTTTATCCAATTTTTTGATAATAAAATCATCAAAATCTACTGGTGGGGTACATTCCAAATCATGCAAAATGGGGCCAAGGATCAAAGTTTGTAACCGAACCTTGGCACAATCATTAGAACTAATTAACATCAACAAACAGTAATGCCTCAGTCTTCTTAGGTCTACTGCAGATGATAATGACAGTGATAATAACATTATTTTTTTAAAATTTAAATATTTAATTTATTGATTAGTATATAATTTTTCTGTTTAAAAAGTAAAATTTAAATATTTTTTTAATTTTAAATATAAAAAATATTACTTTTCTACCGATTTAATTACTGTAGATATTTTTTTGAAGGGGGAGGGGATCATTTCTTCGTTTTCAACTGGGCAAAGCTAACTTTAGATTGCTTATCCAATGTGTCATTATTCAACTCTTGTGTTTGTTTTTGTTTCCTTCTTTGTTTTGAGCCTTTTCTCCTTGTTGTATATGAAAAAAAGGACGATATGTTGGCTCCAATTACTTGGGTTTCAAGGCTTGGGTGACCACTTCCTACAGCTGAAGTTCAAATCGAGGACACGATGAGGCATCTGCCTGATAAAAAACACAACATGATTCAGTCCTTGGGAGCACACTTGTTGAATTCCAATTAGCACAGGATTTGCATCTTGTTTCAGAGCGATTGTTTCATTAGCCTGGAGGAATGAAGTAGCTCCAGGCATTGCAAAAGCTTCCCCTTCATGGTCAGGAATAACAGAAAGCTGTGGAAGTAGCTTCATCTTTGATGGCCACATCGACAAGAATCTTCACCCAGCTTTCATGACTGATTCACAAGAACTCTGTTGATGCACAATTGCAATGGGGGAATGCCAATTTTGGGCTTCTTCATGAGCATCAGAAGACACCCGAACCATATTTAGAATGCTGATCTGGGATGGTGAGCACGGCCCATTATCAAAGCAAAACCCTGCATGGGAATACTTGTGTTAAGCAGATCACAGCATATGAGCCGATCATTTGCGTTCGGTTTTCTGGCCCAGGGTTCGGGCAGGAGATCTTATACTATGGGCCAAAGGCGTGTCCCTCAGCCCCTGGCTCCTAGCCCCAGGCTTCCTGGACTTTTATACAAAACCTGGGACACACACAGAGCTGACCGGCAGTTGGGAGCTCCCAAAAAATTAGTTTCGACCAGTTAACTTGGGTCAGATTCTTGATCGTTTGTTTTGATTTTTCCAGTCAATTTCAAATTGATTAGATTATTACACCCAACTGCTTAAGTTGACCACTTCTGCCTCCTCTAATCAAACTTATCTTCATGTCTATAACTATAAGCCTAATGTTTATCATATACATCACCCCCAACAATACTTTTCCTAGGCCTTGAGGACTGAGTTTTAAACCAAATCAAATGGCATTATTCTAAACCCTAAATTTCACCTACTTGCCTTCTTCCAATGCATTATTGAAGACAATGTTTTTATTTTATTTTATTTTTGGATAAGGCATGAGGAGTATGACAGCTTTGACAAGGGAAGGTTCGAAGTAGCTTCCTGCCACCCCAAACCTAGACCATCTAATTACCAGGATGCCATTGATCTGCGATAGAAACTTTGCTAGTTTGAGCAAATATCAATCACAAAACTTCATGTCTCAAAACAACAATTCTATCAGAATTAACTTTTTATAGTCCCTTATCTAGCCTGCTAGCCCTCAACAATCCAAGCAATTTACTGCAGCAGCACAGTTTGAACAAAATTTCATCGTCCATGGGCTTTTCCATCATTAGTTTGCTCATTGGAATTTGACTTATTAAGCAAGAAGAGTGAGCCATTTTTTCCTTCAGAATTCCCACTGCAACCCCACTTGCAATTCTTTTACAGGCCTGAGTTACAGGGTCATACTCAAAACAGTATTGGTGTTAGCATTTCTTCCCAAAAGAACAAGAATATCATTTTATTTTTTAATATATTTCGATAATAAAAATTTAATCACAGTTTAATTTTTTTCACTCACGTGATGTACGAATTAACCTGTTGACAAGACTAGAATATCTAATGCGTTTGATCATGTCGATTGTTACATGACGAGGTTATATGTCATGTGACAAAAAAAATCAATTGATATTTGATTTGATGATCCATTTTTAGGGTTTTAAGCTTAATAATTTTTTTATATATGAGCAAAGTTTGCCAATAAAGAAGGTCATTGACACTGTACAGTGTACAGATAAGAGGAATATTTCCATTCATATCTTGATCACATGGAAATCCTAGAGGCAACCGTTGAATACTTGCGTGCAAAAATATTCAACGTAAATAACTAAGAAAAAGAATATCTTCACGCCATCATCCAATGGACGCCAAGCAAGCTTACTGTCATCATACCATCCATCACAAGGCTTGATTTACACGTTGACGGCCCAGATTAAACCTTTCTCCTTCCCCATCGCCCTTTTTGTCTTTCCATATAAATTCATGCGCTTTCGACCAACTCAGTCTTGAAACCGTCCTTCAGCATTGCAGAACTTTGTTTTTTTTTTTGGCTTTTATCATCAACGTTCAGACAGGAAACTTGTTGATTCTTCTTGCGAAGAAAGAGAATGGCGAAAGATAGGAAGATTGGGGTGGCTATGGACTTCTCACCGAGCAGCAAGAGCGCTCTACAATGGGCTGTAGATAACTTGGCTGACAAGGGAGACACCCTTTACATCATCCACATCAACCCCAAATCTCTCGACGAGTCTCACAACGCTCTCTGGGCTAAATCCGGTTCTCGTAAGTTTCTTTCTTTTTCTGACATAGATGCAGCTTCTTCTTCTTCTTTTTTTTTTTATATATGTTCTGATCTGATCTAAACCTTGGGTTGTTTTCCGATTCTTGCAGCTCTTATTCCTTTGACAGAGTTTAGAGAGCCAGAGATTATGAAGAAGTACGATGTTAAAACTGATATTGAAATTCTTGACATGCTTGACACTGCTTCAAGACAAAAAGAGGTTCACTTCTCCCCTTTTTTTTTAACCTTTCAAATTAAGTCCTCTTGTTGATCATCATTTTATCCTGTCTGAGGCTGATGTACATGTTTGCTATTGCAGATACACATTGTAACGAAACTGTTCTGGGGAGGAGATTCTAGGGAAAAAATTCTTGATGCTGTTGAGGATCTGAAACTTGACTCTTTGGTCATGGGAAACAGAGGACTTGGAACCGTTCAAAGGTAAGAAAATGGCCATCTGTTTTTATGTTCCTTTCATTGTCTCAGTTGTCACTGATGTTTTGAGCTTTGGGTTGGCTTGATGGGAAAAACAGGATCATCTTGGGGAGTGTGAGCAACTACGTTATGACACATGCTCCTTGCCCTGTTACCATCGTTAAGGAATCAAGCTCCAAGAAGCACTGATAAGTTCATATATTTCGTCTTTCATTTACGAAAAATAATCTGATGAACGGCTGTTCCTTCCGAGTGTATGCTTTGAATCGGCTCGATGTGCTGTTCCTATCTGGTTGATCATGTTTTCTAGTAGCTTAAGGAGTTAAAGGTTGTGTTACCAAATTCTTGAATGTGGTACTTTGTCGGTTAATCTATTCCTTTGGTATTGATTTTGTGTTCCTACAAATGAAATCATAGCCCTTCATGGTGCTGAAAAACTTCTCAAGGCATGGAATTTAATAATAAAAGGTTTTGTCTTTGCCCACATTATGAACTCTTTTTCAAACGTTCAGATACTTTGCTTTTTCTTTACTAATTTCCGCCATATCACATGGGCTGATGGAAAGATCTAGATCCATGAACTTGTGCCACCTGCCACACTGCCTACATTGCCAACCATTTACATTTTTTTTGTTCTGTTTTTAATTGAATTATCCTTCATCTAGCGCATGATTTTGTCAGCTGTGAAGCTGCTCTGTTTTCTGAATATGGCGTAAATTATGAAAAAAAAAAAAGACATTGAGAAACTCAACATTTAAATGATAATATATGTAACGATTCAAGTATTGAATAATTTTTTAAATATAAATCACGTAATTTTTAAAAATTTAAATTTAAATTACTAGCCGTGGTAGATATATAGCGATAGATTTGAATGGTTATATAAGTCATATTATATGTGAAATATTACATATTATAATTTTATTTATTTAAATATTTATTTTTGATATTTTTATTAAAATCACACATCACATCAAATGTTAAATGTTAAGTATCATAATCTTATTCACTTAAATTTTTATCTTTGATGTCTTTATTAAAGTTACACATGGCATTTACAAGATTAAAATTTTTTCAGCAATGTGAAAGTTCATATCAAATTAAAAGTTCATATCAAAAAGTTCATATTAAACTAACGTAGATTTTGATACTATTTATAACGATCCAAAACTAAATACTGACTCAATAACTTTTTAAACTGAAATAACGTGACTTACAAAAATTTAAACTCAAATTATTAATAGTGATCATATTCACATATGTGAGATGTTCAGTATAACACTATATCTCTAAAGTGTACTTGATATCTGACTCGAAAACAAGAACAACAAACGATGAACACGCTACTGATGCGGTCTTGGAACATTTGGAGTAAACTAAGATCACGACACAAAACCAGGTGATAGAAACAGGGGCAAGCACGCGACAATTATTGGGGGAAAAGGGAAAAACAGGTTCATTTGGAGGCATTGGTTTGAGCTTGATCCATGGCTGCAGCAATGCGAGCTTTGAAGAAGGCCAACAGTTTATCTCTGGGAGGCAGGCTGCCCTTGACAACGCTGCAGCTCACGAACTCGTCGGTCCATTTGAACAACCCGGGAAATTTCTCAGCTGACAGCAACTCCATCCCTGTGGCTTCTTGGATGAGCCTGAGCCAGTAGCCAATAAAGTTGGCAGCAATGTCTACCATTCCGACTGTATCTCCCCAAAGAATCTCTTTCACCCAGCGCACTTTCAAGCGTTTTTAGACACTCGCAAGCTTTCTTCCAATGGCTTTTCTCGCTCACTCTCTGGGCTCCACCCTGCTTTCCATATCGCAGGCAAGCACTACATGCACGCCACAAAAAGAACTAAAACAGTGAGACCAAAGCTGATAGATCCTACGGTTTCGAGAATAGAAATCTTCTGTTCTCATTTAGTGCCCTTACTTGGTCGTTATGTAAGTTTGAATGGGTCAATTCAACCCAAATATAAGTTTTGCCAGGTGACCAGACCTATTTCTGAATCTGAGCTGTTTGAAATCTTAAAAAAAGTAGACCAAAAGAGTAGTTAAATGATCAAAGTCTTACCTTCTCATCGATGAACTTAGCCCAGAAACGAGCCATGGCTTTATCGTAAGGATCCTCTGGCAGAATGGGATTGCCCTTCCAAGTTTCCTCAATATATTCAAGTATAACGAGCGACTCAGCAATTGGTTTTCCATTGTGGAGGAGGACAGGAACTTTTTTGTGAACAGGATTGTATTTCAAAAGCAAAGGGCTCTTGTTTTTAGGGACATCCTCCTCTATGTACTCATATTGAACACCTTTCAATTGCAAAGCAAGCTCTACCCTGCGGCTAAAAGGGCTTCCCCAAGCTCCAAAAACCTTCACTTCTTCAGCCATTATGGAACTTTTTACGTCTTCTGCACTTGGAAGGATACTTTGGTTTGATGCTACTTATAGAGGGAGGATTTCCTAGTTTTCTTAGGGAGGAAGGCAGGCTTGCTGTCAACATCGTTATTTAATCAGTGACCGTCGACTGAGAGCAAAGTCGTCGGAACAGCAAGTCAACGCAATGAAACATCGAAGAAAGTTCAATTGTGCTAATAGTAAATTAAGATAAAGCATGAGGCAAGATGGTGCGTCAGCTTGAAGACTTAAAAATTGGGCCTTCGGTGCTCTTTTTTCTTGGGATATCCAAGTCCAACCCTATCTTGAGTCTTGACAGCCAGCCCTTATCAGAACTGTAGAATGCAATAATATATGCTTTGATATTAAATGCAGAAACCTGGTCTGATTTTCAATTTATCTATTTTTTAAAATAAAAATCAGATCAAATAAGAATTTAAATATTTTTTTAAAAAAATAAAATTAATAAAAAATTAAAAAACTCTAATAAAAACCTTTTTTCGTTTTCTTTTAAAAATATATCAATTTTTCAAAAAATATCTCTACTCTTCAATCAATATCCCTCTCCTTTTTTCCTTTTTCTGTAAATCTATCTTTTTTCAACACAAAATCATGATCTCTTTCTTCTCTATTTCTCTTTATAAAAACTATTAAAAAAAATTGAAAGCCCAACAACCAAATAGCAAAATTTTAATTTTTTTTATTCTCATAAAAATATAAAAAACCCAAAATTTAAAGTTATATTCAAATATTATTTAAAAATTTTCTCTTTTCTTCACTAAAAAATATAATATTATTAGTACTATATAACTTTAAGAGTTGTTCCATTTTTTTTATGAATTTATTAGATTTTTTTACTTAATATTGTATATAAATACGAAATACACTCGTTTTGTTTTGATTTATTAAATAATTAAAGATGACATGGATACTCGTTATAGTAATTTTAACTAAATTTAAAATTTATATAATTTATTTTATCAAATATTTTATCAAATAATTTTAACTTAATTTTAAAAACTATTATCTTCCATAAAAACTTCATAACTTTTAAGTTAAAAGAAAAATTAAGTCAAACAAGCTCTAATTTTATTCTTAGAAGTTGCAAACTGCAGAGAGATTACAACACACAGAGTGAAGAAAACAGATTCTAGAACAAAAGCATGAGCTGATCAAGAACTATTTTTGCCATAAAATCATATGGAAAATGGTTGATTTGGGATAGCATTAATCTGTCCATCCATCACCAGATAGCCAGTTTTTCATAAAGGCAATCAGTTTATCTCTAGGAGGCAGGTGTTCCTTAACAGGATTGCAGCTTACAAACTCGTCACACCATTTGATCAACGCAGGGCATTTGTCTGCTGTCAGAAACTCTAGTCCTGAAACTTCATGAATGACCCTAAGCCAAAAGGCGATGAAGTTGGCAGCAATGTCAAGCAGTCCGATTGTCTCTCCTCCAAAGAATCTCTTTCCATTGAGTACACTTTCAAGTGTTTTCAGACACTCCCTTACTTCTTCCAGGGCCTTCTCTCGCTCTTCCCCTGTGCCTAAAAGAGCTTTCCACACTGAAGGCATGCACTAAAACACAAACACAAACACACAAGCAAATAAGAAACCAAAAATCCAGATTTATCTCCCACTTACCAAATTTAAAAGCAGTGATTCCAATAATTCACAATTGAATCTTACTTCTTACCTTCTCATCTATGAACCTAGCCCAGAAACGGGCCATGGCTCTTTCCTGAGGATCTTCAGGCAAAATGGGATTGTCTTTCCAAGTTTCATCAACGTATTCAAGAATAATAAGAGACTCCAGGATTGGTTTTCCGTTGTGCAGGAACACAGGTACTTTCTTGTGAATTGGATTGTATTTCAGAAGCAAAGGACTCTTAAAACTTGTCGTCAGAGACATCCTCTTCTATATACTCAAAAGGGATACCTTTCAGTTCCAAAGCAGTCTCC